CCGTGTCATCCGTTTTCAGAAAGAATCCTTGTTTTCTTTCTGGCACGTTTTTTTTTTTTTTTTTAGTTTCTATTTTTTTTAACCCCTATCCTCCTTTCAATACAATTTTGTACCTTCAGAATATCTTATTTTGCTTTCATTTTGTCTCTTTTTCTAAAACACCAAGTGTTGTGCGGGCTTACGTTTTTCCCTTATGTTTTCTTTTCCCTGTATTTCAGTTTTTTGCCTTCTCTCTTTCCCTCCCTCGTTGTCAGCTGGATTTTTTTTCTCTCTTCCTCAACCGTCTCTCTTTAGCCCTCTTTCCTTTTTCCCTATTCCACCGTATCCGCCGACTCAATAATGAACCTCCACTTTGTTACGTCTCGGCCAGACTTGTGCTCGTTACTTGATGAAGCGTAGTGTCTAGAGTACCGTCCGACGGCACTCTTGTAGAGCGTTCAAGTGTCGTCCGACGGTACTCCACTCACGCGTTCAAGTGCTGTCCGAAAGTCCCGTATAAAACGAGTTCTCGAAACGCATTTTTTGAAGCGTAGTGTAGCATAGTGGTAAGATGTCTGTCTCATAAGCAAGCGATCCACAGTTTCGATCTTCAGTGCGGGCATACTTTTTTGTTTTTGTTTTCTCGCGATCATTTTATTTTGCCGACGCATTTGCCGATATATACATTTATTTTTTTTATTTTTTTATTTTTTTTTTTTTTACTATTAACACAGAAAAAAACGAATGTTTGTCACCGAAATTTCGGTGACCGAAATGGTATGGGACTTCGTTTCCGGAGGTGCATGGGGTACAGCGGGGCTTGGTTTGCCGGCTGGACGCCGCGAAGCGGCGTGTACGACGGGGTCAAATAGGCCAATAGTTTTGTAATGAGCAGCCGCATACTGTCGCCGCGAAGCGGCGTGAACGCAGGCGGAGAGGGGTGGCTTAACGAGCTCCCCAGTGATACACGCGCCGTCCGACTCTCTTTCGGACGGCACTTGTGGGTGCGATTGGAATGCCGTCGGACGGCACTGTAGACACAGCCTTCTTGAAAAATGTAATGGATTACAATTACAAATTACCGAGCCTCGAATGTAATAGATTACCATTACGAATTACTTTCGCTGAAAAGTAACTGATTACTTTACTCGTAACGTCACAAATTACTTTCACGTTACTTTTTTCCGTACACTTATTCAAAAACAATAAAAAAATTGATATTTTTCAAAAATGTTTTTTTAACACTACTTTTCGTTTCTCATACACCCGTATTGGTACTCCTTGTAAAAATGAAATATTTTATTTAAGAGAAAGAGTGTAGGTGCGCTTCGTTAACCTGTAAACTGACAAGGCACCGAAAGCTGCAACCACACCCGCCATCACGCTAGCTTACGGCCTCCTGAAATGATCCCTGGAATTCTGCGGAGAAATCTAGCGGTACGCATGCTCACTAGCGGCGTCTACCTCCTCTACGAGTTTCGGAGCTAAAGAAGCGACCTACGAAAGCTCCCTTTTGACTCGGGTGTTTCGCCTGTTATTCACAAGAAAAGAAAAAAACTTGGTTGTAACGTTACAATGTATAGCCCAATGCAGAATGCAGGCGTCCCACTTAACCTTGATTTGTTTCCGTAGATTAGAGTCTGTTGTTCTTGTTGAACGTGCTCTCTTTATGCTACTGAATGTTTTGCTCGTATTATTCCAGTTACTGTATTAAGCTCATTTTAAAAACAAAAGTAACGAGTAATTAAAGTAATCCGTCACCAATATTTTTTAACGAAATTACATTGCAAATTACTCCCGAAAAAAAGCAACGTGGCAATTACAAAACTAATAAAAAAAGTTACGGATTACAAGTAATCCGTTACTTGCAGCGGATTACTTGCCAAGTCTGGTCTCGGCGTGGTGGTGGCGCGGCGGGCGCACTTCCGGTCTGGGACGGTGGGCGGAAGTCACCATGCGGGACGGGCATTTATGTGTTACTTCGGAAGAAACCAGACAAAAAACCTGCCTTCTCGTCAGAACACCGCGATTTAAGCTGTACCAAAAAGAGTCGCGAAAAGTTTGAAGGTCAAATTTCATGTGGTTTCTGCCTGCTTAGTTCTTCCGAGAAAGTGAATAGGGGCCGCAAGAAAGAAAAATCGCACGCCGTCGGACCACGATTGCTTGTGCTGGAGGCACTTTAGGTTGAATTCACGGATACTCGTGGTCGTCAGAATTATTTGTTTTGTTCCAACATGAGCGCGCAAAAACCGCGAAGTTGTACGGACCATCCGCGCAATAAGTTCAGTCCGTCTTCGAGTTCAAACGGCCGCCTGATCGTTTCAACAGTCGTCTACTCTTTCAAACGTTTCTGCTTGTTGTCGTCTGCTCGTACAAACGACAGCACCCCCTAGACCGAACGTTGACCCGGGAATCGCTATAAGAAGTAACTGCAGGCCTCAATACCTTTGAGTTTGAAGGTGGGTTGGGTTAAGTAGGCTCCGTGTAAGCAGTAGATACAAGGAGATGTTGATCATTGTTACCAGTGGCCATCACCGATTTGTTATGCCTGATTCACCTGGTTCGGTTCTGCTTGCGATTTTCGGTATCGACGTCGACCATCTCAGCTCCCGTTTAAGGCGTGTTTCAGGGCGTCTTCGCAAATTCTAATGTAACCAGAAAGATACCGCGAATAACGCCCTGGCGGTAGTCGCGAGAAACAAAATTAATAAGTGCGTCGGAGTAACTCTCGGTGACTGAAAATATAGTGCACGTGATTTTTTGATCACGATCATGCAAAATCAATTTCTAGGAGAGCGAACGACGCAATCTGTACGCCATGCGCCGAGGGCAGAGAAAGTGCCGTCCGAGCGCTCAGATTCCGACCGAGCAAAAATGAGTTCGAGCGGCACATTCGCTTCTTATATCTTTTTGCATGATCATAATTGAAGCATCACGTGCGCTGTATTTTCTATCATGAAGAGTTACTTCATTTAACTTTTACGCACTTATTAAACTTGTTTCTCGCTACCATCATCTTGGGGATTATAATCGGCTTCTGGTTGACAAAGAGAGCACGTCACGAATTCTATCTGCGTCTCAGTGCACGCACTGGCTGCTCGCGCCTCCCATTGACCAAACTCTCTTTATATGTGGCTCTGGCGATAAACCAATCTGTCTAGCAAAATATTTGTCTTTCGACCCTTGTTTGCTCAGCCGACTCATTACCACGGGGGAACGGCACACATACGGAGTTGTAAATATATGGTCATCATTAATTTTCATGATCCTCTCTGCTGGGTGAACCTAATTGCGTTACAAACATTAGTATGTTCCTTGTAAGGCGCAGTGCTTCAGGAAATGTTAATGATCTCTCAAATTTATGAGTTTGCAACAAAAACAAACTTTGTTGATATGAGCATTGGTAGGTCCATCGGATGCTTAGACAAAAGGAACTCCTGAGGGTGAGTACACGTCTGCGTGTCCATGGCGTGCATGTGTGTGTGTGGGTTTATGTGTGCGTGCGCACGCACGGTTGTGTGTGTGTGTGTGTGTGTGATTGTGTCTGTGTGTGTGGGTGGGTGGGATACGCGCGCGTATGCATTTTCTCTTGTCCGTGCTCATGCGTGTGCTTGTGTATATGTTAGTGTATATTTGTAAATGTGTGTGTGCATATATCTCTGCGCACATGCGGGTGCAAGTTTGTTTGCATATGAGAGCATCTGCAGGTGTCAAAGGCAAAGCCCGAATACAACGTGTTTTTATATTCTAAACTATCCCAAACATGGTTACATATACTCCTTTTGTTTCGGCCATTATCTACCACTTCGAAATGGTTTGGACTCGACATAATTGGCAGTTTTAGCGAGTCCTTTTTGGAGCAGATGGTCCTGAAATCATGATCGGTGCAGCTGGTCCGTTCCACGAAACCGTACGCGAAATTTAACATGCTTCAGCGAATCGTAAGACGGGCGCAGCCATGTAAACGATGAGGATGATTTCGTTTAACCGGCGGCGCCGTTTTCAACTGAAATGTGAAACATTCTGCAGCGTGCAAAACCGTGGCATCTCGTGTTTCCGGCGTACGACTGGTGTAAACAAGGCGGCCGACGTAACACTTACCGGTCGGAATTTCAAGAGCCGCGAACCTAAATAGGGTAAAAGGTGTCTCAACGACCGCAAAGGAAGGTTGGTGTGTCTCCGTCGTCTTGAACTCGAACGATCGTTCACGTTTTGTGCCGTCGAAGCAAATCATTTCGTCTGCTCGCGGTCGCCACGGTACCTTTCGGCAGCCCGCAGATCGCAAAAAATTACTACAGTGCGTAGTTTACAAAATTCATGATCGCTTACTACTGTGAGCCGTCCTCGAAATGATTTGTTTCAACTTCTCAAATGAAGCAGAATAACAAGATGGCAAATGATCTCCCAGTGTCCCAAAGCCTGACGCTCGGCTGGGGCGGCGGACAAACCGACCGCTTTCTTTTTTTTTTACCCGAGTCATAAACGGTGCTGGCAGCGTTCCGGTGACGACGCCTAGCGGCCCGAGTACGAGAAACGGAACAAAAAGAGCCTCCATCTTAACGACTCGCGCAGGCAGGCGATTGCGTTCGAAGTGGAAGCGACTGGCTAAAACGCCCCAATGACAAAAGCTGCACTTTCCAGGCGCTCTCGCGCTAACCTCCCTAAAGCAAACTATACTCATGCATCAGACGAAAGACACCTTGTTTGCTGCAGACACCACGAAACAATTATCTGCGGCCCATGCCTCAACCAGGCTGGAAGCATCTTTTCTTCCCACATTTGCGTGCTTCGAACATGCCTGTTGACGGTTTTTACTAGGCCAACGTGACAAGAGTTGTCACATGAGGAAGAAACCCATCTAAGACAATGTCTGCACACTGTCTTTTATATGATGTGAAAACCATCCGCAATGCAATCCTTTAGCATTTCGTTATCAAGGAAGGCCGTCCTCCACATTGGAATTCCGTTTTGATTCTACCGAGCTCGTCGGAGGCGAACGCAGTACAAAGGTGTACACTCACTGTCGCACGTTGGTTCCACGTCGCTCCACAGTCCCGTTTCGAGGCAACTTCTGGTGTCAACGCCGGAGAGGGTGAAGTTGTCGTGGCACGAGTACTTCACCACGCTCAGGAAAGTTGAGGTGCCGTTCACCAGCAGAACTTCGCCGTCGTCCAACGGCCTAGGTTCGCCGCAGTCGATATCTGTAAAGCGAGAAATAACCAGCTAAGGGTAAATTGGCAAAAATAACGGAGATCATGCAGGTGAGATGATGGCGATGTCTCGGGTTTTTAAGGTGTCCATATATTGGCATTTCACCTGCATTCTCTATTCACCGAAAAAAGAAGCCTAGATTTATTTGTATTTTTCACACAAGAGGGTAATCACAATTTATAATCATTTCTTTCCTTGACGACACGGTTGTGTATTATACCAGAAAGCGGCCACACATATGTGCATATAAAAAAAAAGCATAAACACAATATTAAAACGCTGATATCTATATTTATTAATTTATTTAAGCACTCCCAAACTTTTTTAAGCCCAGGGCAAGTTATATAAAGATACACCGATTGCACAATATACACAAATTGCATAAAAAATAATGTTTTAAGTTTTTGGAAGGCCTAGTTTGAAAAAGGGCTAGTGGCTGCTGCGAATATATTGGTACCATTTATATGAACAGTAGGTAAGATCACGTACTGGGTTAGCATCTTATAGCGAATGCTAATATAGACATTTGATAAGATGTGGAAATCAAATTTCACATAATTTACAACAATGGTCGAAACGAGGAAAACTAAGGTGAGGAGTTTATAGCGAAAATTCTCTGAGGTGGTGGTTGTACGTAAAACAACCATTCTGTCTGTTAGCCAGCTTGCCACGACTCTTTACATTTCGATTTGATCTAAACAGTACGTTTTAACTAGAAGGGACCGCAAACATCTCTACACGGCGAGAGTCTTTGTCGTCTGCACTTAATCCAGTGGCACGAACTGCAGATATTTTGCATCACCAGTTCTGAGGGGCCTGCGTGACCGTCGTCTATAGTTGAGACCCTCTGGTTTGTGACGTCAGAACGAGATTTCTGCTCCCAGTGATTAAATCTAAACCGAGCATTTCGATATACTAAATTTTGTTCACCGTTTTCAGCGTGTCATCTGCGCTGTGTTCCACGACTATGTGGTCACCGACAACCTGAGAAATGCGGGGTCGTGAATTATTGTGTGCAGACTTCTTGGTTTGTACTTAAACCTTCGACGTTTCTTTTTTTTTTTTTTGGCTAATAGTGAATTTTAGGGAACCGTTTTTGCAGTTCCCATATGGTACGATGGGTCTTCCGGCGACAACTGTGCATGTGCGAGTCTTCCGCGGTAGACATTGTTGTGGGCCTTATTGAAAAAATGTAACGAAACACGTTGCTCGTTACTTTCGAATATAGAAGTAACGCGTTACCGACCTACGTTACCTCAAAAGAAAAAGGCCGCGTTACCGTTACCGACAAAAAGTAGAGCGCGTTACTTTTGCGTTACTTTTTTTTTTTTAATTAGAAATTGACACATTTTACTGTTTTGATATTAGAAATGCGCTTGGGCGCCATATTTCAAGAAACATTATGTCCATGCGGAAACTCAACATAATTAACTTATATTATTTGTGGTTTCGCCTAAATACTCACAAGAACTCTACAAAAAAAGCTAAAAAGTAAAAAAAAATTCACATGATTTGGCGCCTAGACACACACACAAAAAAAAAATTTAAGTGTTATTTTTTAAGCCTTACGGAGAATATGTAACGCGTGAAGTAACTACGTTACCCGTTAGTTGAAATAAGTAACGTAAGTACGGTTACCCGTACGTATTTAGAAAATGTAACTAGAACGTCACTACGTTACCGAGAAAACTAACTCGTTACCGGTAATGGCTTTACTTGTAACTTGTTACCGCCAACACTGTCAGCACCATATGGGCTGTTCTTATCGGAGGGCCCATCGTGCCGTACCGGATATGCAAAAGCGGTTCCCCAAAACTTTATATTAGAAAGTTTTCTTGAACCGTTTTAGGGAACCGATTTTGCACATCCGGTATACCAAGGGCCCTCCGGTATGAACAGCCCATATGCTACCGCACAATTTTCGTACACGCGCAGTTGTTACTCGAGGGCCCATCGTACCCTATCGGATATACAGAAATTGTTCCCTAAAACTCTCTATTAGGCAATTTTAGGAAACCGTTTTTGCCCATCAGATACTGTACAATGGGCCCTCCGGTATGAACTGCGCATGCGCGAGGCTTCTGCGGTAGCACAAGCGCAATTTGTACCGCAGGGCCCATCACGCCCTATCAGATGAGCAAAAACGGTTATTTAAGACAGTTTACTATCAGAATCTTATCTGTTTTGGGGTGATAATAGAGAGTTTTAGGGAACCGTTTTTGAACATCCGATAAGGTACAATTGGCCCTCTGGTACGAAGTGCGCATGCGCCCTCTGGTACGAACTGCGCATGTGCAGTTTGTACCATCGCACCGTATCGAATGAGCGAAAACGGTTTGCTAAAACTTCCTAATGAGAGGCTCAGCGCTCGCAAGACCCTGGTCTTCATAAGCTCACGGTGGCTGTATAGTTTAACACATGCGAAGATTAAGCGACGCCACACGGATTATTTAAAGTTGTTAGGCGCAGAACCCGTACTTTGATGTAGCAACCTTTTAAAGATATTAAAGTGCAACCGGGCGATCATACAGCCAAAAACGTAGCAGGTATGTAGCACAGACGCTATGTACCGGACCCCCAGCCCCATGCAGTTAGCAAATGTTATTACAGCTGCTCATCGCCAACGCACGGTGTTACTATTGGCTCCGTAAAGATTCCTTCGTGTAAACCTGTGTTGCGCCCGTTACCGAAAATAAGTAACGAAATAGCGTTACTGGTTAGCTTGGAGACAAGCTAACGCGTTACAGAACGTCGTTACCATTTTGCAAATGTAACAAAATGCCGCTGTCGTTACTTGCCCTGAATAACGGACGTTACTTTTACGTTAGTATGTCATGACTTTGTGTTTTAATGTTAGCGTATGACAGCTGTTTATGATAAACCGCCTTTATAAACTTCGGCAACAATACACTTGTTCAGAGTGATTATTTGTTTATTTATTTGTACTCTGCAGCGCTGGAGCATTACAGCAGAGCAGTGAGATCACATTGCACGTTGCAAACTCACACAAACAGCGCAAGCCAGAAAAGAACAGTATAAACAAACAATTCAAAACAACACAAAATAAAAGATTTTGAAGTTTCAATAACGCCAAAAATACCAACAAAGAAATTCACATTGCATTAATCAGGTTAATAAAAGATTCACTGTCGGCAGGATGTGTAATATATATCCTTGAACACGTGACGCTTCGCGAGCGCGATTCAAAGAACCGAACCTTGGTCATGGCACCTGCCTGGGAAGAAGAAACCGCTCTAAAAAGAACGACCGGATGCACAACAAGTAACGGACGCAAAGTGGACCTATTCATGTAATCAAAGTTAATTCGGTATAATAAACATTATTTTATTCCTTCACAAACCAGCGTTGCATTTTCAATTAACGACACGTCAGCATCGGGCCACCGCTGACACACTTGGTTTGGTTCAAAGCGTGGGAACGTCGGCGCTTCCAAACTTTGCGTTCATCCTTTCTGTTGTTGACAGAACGAGAATTTATTCGTTATGAAGAAAAAGATGTGACCAGCTGGGGTAGCTAGGGACGTCGAGGTAAAATCCTTGGAGCGGCGGCAAAATCCTCCTGAACCGAAGTATCTTTCCAGCGAGACGGCTTCCTCTTCAGGGTACGGCGACGGTGATCTTAGCAGCTTCTATACAAAGACTGCACTGAGAACGCGTAGGGGTTTTTCGCAGCGATAATCTCGCACCTTTTGGGCCCGGTCGTGGGAGCGTTAAAAGTATATTTCGAAAGACTTTGAAAAGACGCCGTTTATAAATTGCTTTGTTGGGGCTTCTTTGCCACTTTTACGTGGTGTGCAGAATAAAAAGTATTGGTTTTCAAGGAATCATGCGGCCTTTTTTAATCAAAATTCACTAGTAATGGGCAACGCAAATTGATAGGAAAGACTGTCAAATAATAACGACATCACTAGCCATTCGAGATTCTAACGAGTACGTTAGTGAAAAAACTAACGCGTTACCAGTAACGTATAGATGGTTAAGCGTGTTGGTTTCTAATTTACGATAAGGAAAGAGGGACATTCAAGACAAACAGACCAAGAGAGGCTTTCGTCTTTCAACAAAACGCCTGCTTGTCTTCAATGTCCCTCTTTCCTTCTCGTAAATTACCAGTAACGTCGTTACTTGTAACCCGTCATTTCCAGCACTGCTGTAAACAAAACACCTGCTCAGCTTGTGCCGGTAGAGTTGCTTAACGTTGTTTGTCTAGCGTGGCGCAGACACGCGCACACAGGCTACGACTGGTGGCCGGAAACAGAGAAACGCGTACCGGGTGCCAAGAAAGCAATCTTCTGAGGGTGCGGAAGTACCTGCCGCCTCACCCATACGGAGCAGCATTCCCTAAGCGCTACAATATCCACTTCGTCTTTTTTATTATTATTTCCTTCTCGCTTTATCATTAACTTAGCTAGCTTTCGTTCTATACTCACAAATTCAGCGTCGGCGCTTTGCAGGTTGCTAACTTTTACGGCCCAGCTAGTCTCCGTTTCATCTTCGGATGGACCGCACCGAACTGTATACGAGCACTCCCAGCCATCCGAGCCCTGCGAACGCATTTTTCTTGGCCACGCGCCGCGCTCGTCGCGGCGGAGTCCCTCTCTCGCGGTGGGATACCGTTCACGGCGTTCCAGTCGTAAGGAGTGCAGGTTGGTTCGCTTAGCCAAAGTCTCGGCACGGCTCCGTTTGTTTCCGTTGATGTGGTCTACATTCCGCGCGTGTGTTAGGCTCCTCGGATTCGTTATTCGGGAGACAGTCGTAACTCTCTGGTATGCAAATGCGCCGTCTGTCGCCACCGTCGTCGCCTCCGTGCCGGGAAATTTCGGGTTGCTGCTACCAGCTTCTCTAGCTGGTCGTTTCCCCCAAAACACCTATCCACTTATAGACGATTTCTTTTATTTTTTCTTTCGGTACTTAAAAGTGCATTCAAATCGCCTGTCTCTCGGGGGTTTCGATTCCGACAAACTATATCGAAA